TACCGAATGCTTCAAGCACTGGATTTGTTTGTACAATTTGATCTTCTAAGGTCACTTTCTTCTTGCCACCTGCTGTCTCTGTAGCGCCACCAGCTGCTTCTGTTTGACTTGCACCCACAGATGCAAAGTATGCAATTACCTGAAGCAGCCAAGTTCAGTTGATCAATGTGTGCAGTGCCATTCGACTAAACCAATTTCCTCATAAGATAAATCCAAAAATTTGTGTTCATCCTGCATGCTTCCAAGATAATAGCTGCGCTTATGTGATCGATCGATCATCATTGTAAAGTTATCAGCTAACCTTTTTAGTGTTTTCTGTTTTGCCGGCGCCAGATTCACCGGTGATCAGCATTGATTGATTTTCGTGATTCTGGAGCATATTTCGGTATGCTTCGTCTGATACAGCGAATAGATGTGGTGGCATCTCGTTTCTTCTTTTACCCATAAACATGCGTGCCACTGAGTCCGTGTAAATCGGTAAACGTTTGTATGGGTTGATCACAACACAGAATAAGCCAGAATATGTCTGCAATTGTTATTTTTCTTCGAATGCCATTGAATTTTCACGATTTCATCTAAGCTCAGCCAAAGCATTCAAAGGATTTGCTAAATTACTCGTTGCAATTTCTCTTAACTCATAACTTATGGATGGCTCTGAAAGGCATTCAGCTATGTCTTTCCAGCTAATAATCTACTTGACCAACACCTGAATGTTTTTTGCACCTTTTCTTATCGTACGATCAATGTTCGCTCATGAATGTGACATGAATGCACTTTGCAGCAATTAGTTAACACCATAACTGATGATTCGAGATAAGAGTAAGAAAGCCTACATAGATGAGCATTGCTGCATAACGTGCTCGCAGATTATGTAGAACACAAGCATCGTTCAGAATTGTCAAGTTTGACATGTCTTCTGTTTTCTCGAATTTTGGTGGATTCATCTGTGCCACTAAATCCTTTTTCAGTGTTTTCTGAAAATTTTCATTGGTGTCGGAATTTGATCGAATATTGTATCGCCTGCAGTGGTACATATAAATAAGTACAAACTATCCTTTGTTCTCTACTTTTGCGCTTATTCATCAAACATAATCTTATATTGAATTGTTAAAGAACAACAACCAAAAATAACTCGATTTAGCCACTTTCATCAAGTTTTATCACCATCTGATCCCTTCCTACTGTTATTTTCAATTCGTTCCATTTCTGTCAAGCTGATTAAATTTGTGTTATAGCCGAAAGACACTTCACTAGTCAATATCATTGAGTAACACTTTCAAAATCAAAACTTAGAAATTCGCAGAGTTATATCTCCGACTGTCGAACAGTCTCAAATGATATTGAATGCTTAATTGCTTCCTCACTGCTAATCGATTTATATAAGTCTGAATTGTGGTTAATACCTCTGATCCTTTGCTTGTGACTGTGATTTGGTCTCCTTTTGTGGAGATAATCTGAGCGGGCACGTAGCCTTCATCTTTGTCTGGAATCCAACAATCTTTTTTCGAGTCATATGGAACTGATTGATCCTGAAAATATCGACGAATGAGAAGCACGTATGATAAACACATTCATAAACATTATCTATTGAAGGAGTTTTGGATTTCTAAACAAGCAAAAAGCCACAGATTCCAACATTTGACAACTGAACGTTTAAGAAATAAATACAAAAAGACCGCATCATCGCTCAATTGCAGTGATGAGAGC